TCTGGGCCCAGAGCAATGGCTGAAATGCTAAATCCTCACCTTGCAAGTGCCAGGATCGCATATGGGCACTGGTTTGTGTCCTGGCCCCTCCACTTCCCCTCCAGCTCCCTGCTTGTGGAAAAGCCTGGGAAAGCAGTTTCTCTCCTGACCCCTTTCTCTGTAACCCTGCGTTTTGAATAAATGAATACTTTTGGGCTTCGAAACAATGGCTCAGTGGCTAAATCCTTACCTTGCAACTCTACCTCCCTGCTTGTGGCCTAGAAGGGCAGTCGAGGACGGCCCGAAGCCTTGGGACCCTGCACCTGTGTGGGAGACCCGGAAGAACCTCCTGGCTCCTGGCTACCAGCTTTTGTGGTCACTTGGGAAGTGAACTGGAGAATGGAAGTTGGTTTTCCTTTTATTTTTTAAGATTTATTTATTTTTATTGCAAAGTCAGATATACAGAGGAAGAGAGAGAGGAAGATCTTCCGTCTGATCGTTCACTCCCCAAGTGACCACAACGGCCGATGCTGCGCCAATCCGAAGCCAGGAGCCAGGAACCTCTTCCAGGTCTCCCACGCGGGTGCAGGGTCCCAAGCCTTCAGGCCGTCCTCGACTGCTTTCCCAGGCCACAGGCAGGGAGCTGGGTGGGAAATGCAGCTGCCAGGATTAGAACCAGCGCCCATAGGGGATCCCGGAGCATTCAAGGCGAGGACTTTAGCCGCTAGGCCATGGTGCCAGACCCGGAAGTTGCTTTTCTCTGCCTCTCTTTCTCTCTGTAAATCTGTCTCTCCAAAAAAATAAATAAATCTCACAGAAAAAGAGATTTATTTTCTTGTTTATCTCAGTCTCTTCTTCCCTCTGGAAATCTGCCTTTCCAATAAAAACAAGTAAATCCTTTATAAATTTTGAGTTTTATTCTTTTTTAAAAAGATTTATTTATTCTTATTACAAAGCCAGGTATGCAGAGAGGAGGAGACATAGAGAGGAAGATCTTCCATCCTCTGGTTCACTCTCCTAGTCATTGCAATAGGTGGAGCTGTGCCTATCCTAAGCCAAGAGCCAGGAGCCTCTACTGGGTCTCCCATGTGGGCGCAGGGTCCCAAAGCTTTGGGCCGTCCTCGACTGCTTTTCTAGTCCACAAGCAGGGAGCTGGTTGGGAAGCAGGGTCACCAGGGTTAGAACCAAAGGCAATATGGGGATCATGGCGCATGCAAGGCAAGGACTTTAGCCACTAGGTTACCATGCCAGGCCCTGCCTTTTTTTTTTTTTTATGATTTATTTATTTTTTATTTAAAAGGAAGAATTACACAGAGAGAAGAGACACAGAAAGATTTTCCGTCTGCTGATTCACTCCCCAATTGGCTGCAATGGTCAAAGCTCAACTGATCTGTAGTCGGGAGGTAGGAGCTTCTTCCAGGTCTCTCACATGAGTTCAGGCTCCCGAGTGCTTGGGCCATCCTCTACTGCTTTCTCGACCTTTAGGAGCCATCTGGATGGGAAGTGGAATAGCCGGTACTCAAACTGGTGCCCATATGGGGTGATGGTGTCACAGGTCGCAGCTTTTTACCTGCTGTGCCACAATGTCAGCCCTCATCATTTTCAAAAGCTTTTTTAAGTCATGAATGCATTTTGACTGTTTAAACCTCGACTCTTCAAGTAAAAACACCCCACCCCAGAACGGCTGTCTGGCATCTCCTGGGAGCTGCTTAGGAGCTAGTTTCACTCTGGACCTGTTAAGTCTGAAGTCCCGGGCTGGGGCCTGGGCTGCCAGCCCTCCAGGTGACCCTGTCAGCTGTGACACATGGGAAGGGCTGTTTGCTTCCTGGTGCTCGCAGCGTAGGGGGCAGGGGTGACACCCAACATCCCCTACTGAAGTCCCATGTCGGGGAGCGGCTCCTCAACCCGGAGCTGACCTGGGAGATGGAAGGGCCGGTGCTGCTCTGCTGGGTGGGAGGTGACAAAATGTGTCTGCAATTGCCCCAAGTGGCAGTGCCTCCATCGGGACACCTGCGTGTGGGAACCTACCGGCCCACTTGGAGGCTGTGGTAGGACAGAGCGCTCTGGGGCCAGCCAGTCACAGCCTCCTTCGCAGTCTTAGCATCCCTGTCTGGAAATGGAGACAAGCTGCACTGGGAGCTCCTGCGGAAGGGGAAGGAGGCTGCAGGGCTGCAGGGCTGCGCGAGGTGGCTCTGCTAATTGCTCAGCTGCTGGCTGCCAAGCCCCAGCCTGGCAACACCGTCCAGGTGGGTGTCGTCACTCATTCCTGTGTCACCTGGTCACCGCAGCACCCCTGCCACGCTGTGCACACCCTGCCCTCCCTTGCAGCCAGCCAGGGGCAGAGCTTGGAGCGAGCTTGTGGGCCCGAGGATGCCAGGCCCACTTGCTGCCATGCTGCCCACAGCTGGTTGGGCAGGGGTGGCACCCAGCCACGAGCAGCACCTGTCTCCTGACATGGTTGACATGGGGCATTGGGAATGTGTGTGTGTGCCAAAGCTCCTGGCAGGGAGAGGGTACAGGGTGGGCAGCTGAGCCCCTGCAGGCCTCCAGCTGCCTCTGTCACTCAGTGTGACCCAGCTCTGGTCCCCAGTGTGTGCCAGGCCTGCTGGGAACAAGGGGGTCAGTCCTGCTCCTTCATCGAGTGCCGTGCTTGAGCCCCTGGACCCGTTACCTCCCCCATTCTCTCCACTGTGCTATAGGATGGCTCTCCTAGGCCTGGTAATGGAGGGGCGGTGTGGCTGCTCAGGGTGTGGGGGGGAGTGGAGGTGGAGGAGGGGAGATCTTTCTTCTTAACCTGTAATGATTGCTCATGTTAGAGAAGTGACTTGTTGTTGCTGTTAAGATTTATTTCCATTGGAAAGGCAGATTTACAAAGAAAAGGAAAGACCGAGAAAGATCTTGTAGCCATTGGTTCATTTCCAAGTGGCTGCAATGGTCAGAGCCAAGCTGATCCAAAGCCAGCAGCCAGGAGCTTCTTCCGGGTCTCCCACACGGGTGCAGGGTCCTAAGGCTTTGGGCCGTCCTCGACTGCTTTCCCAGGCCACAAGCAGGGAGCTGGATGGGAAGTGGAGCAGCCAGAAGAACTGGCATCCATATGGGATGCTGACACTTAGATGGTAGAAGATTAGCCAATTGAGCCATTTTGACATTTTTAAAGTTTTATTTATTTTTATTGAAAAGGCATATTTACAGAGAGAAGGAGAGACAGAGAGAAAGATCTTCCATCTGCTGGGTCACTCCCTGAGTGGCCACAGTGGCTGGAGCTGAGCCGATCGAAGCCAGGAGCCAGGAGCTACCTGTCTGTGGTTGGCTGGGCCAGTGAAGGCCATGGCCACTGAACAGTGACCATCGAGGCCTGTGTGGGGGCTCAGTGAGAAAGGCTAGAGACCCCAGGCAGGGCAGGCCTGGAGTGCAAGGCAGGAACAGACACCAAGTGCTGCTCTGGGAAACTGTCTCCAGGCTACAGGAGTAGGGGCATGGGCGGAAGAAGGCAGGGGCATGGGCGGAGGAGGGCAGGGGCAGGGGCATGGGCGGAGGAGGGCAGGGGCATGGGCGGAGGAAGGCAGGGGCAGGGGCATGGGTGGAGGAGGGCAGGGGCAGGGGCGGAGGAGGGCAGGGGCATGGGTGGAGGAGGGCAGGGGCAGAACAGGGCAGGGCAGGGCTGGAGCAGACTCCTGGGGCTGCAGAGGGGGGATGCTGTCAGCTGGGTGCAGAAGCAGCCACCCCAGGGGAACTGCAGCACCATACCCTTCCCCAGGGCATGCTCACCTGTGCCCCAGCAGGTACAGGCAGGACAGAGACACCCCAATCAGTGGCAGGATCTGACCCCCGACTCCAGGCCCAGGGCTCTCTGCCCTGTTAGGAAACCAGGGTTCCTGGGGGAAGGAAGTAGCCGTGGCAACTCTCTGCGTGGGGCCAGGGAGGGTTCTCGGAGATGAATGCTCTGGGAGAGATGCAGTTTGGGGGTGGGTGATGCAGAAAATAGGGGTCTAGTTTGGGACCTGGTAAGGCAGAGCAGGTGTTAGGGCAGTGAGGGGACCCAGGCAAGGGAGCTCATTGTGGTCAGAGGCAGCTCTGGACTCCAGTGCTCCTAGCTTGGAGCCTCCATGTATTTTTGGCCATCACACTCTGAGAGTCCTGGGGTGCAGCAGGTGGGGGGGGGGCAGTATGGGAAGTTTCCTGGATAGTCCTGGGACCCACGGGGCAGGGCAGGGCAGGGGAGCACCCAGCACTGGGTTAGGCACTGTGGGAGTACAGTTGGGGAATGGCTAAGTAGCTTCCTCCCCCAGGGATGGAGGTGGGGGGAAGGTTGTAGGCTCAGAACCCTGGGAAGCTGATTCGTCACAGGGGGGCTGAGAACAGGGCCTAGAAGGCCTCCCCACAGAGGGACAGCTGTGGTCTAGCCGGGTGGCAATCAGCTGCTGCTGGGAGACTAGGCAGGGCAGGGAGGGGCGGACCAGAACCCTGCCAGTCCCAGCGCGTGGGAGCCGGCGGCAGTGGCTAGCACTAGGTTTCAGGTTATCCTGTTGTGAACGCTCAGCTCAGCTCGGTTAATGCTGAACAGATGGGGGAGGGGGCCGCCAGCCTCCTTGGGGACAGCCATGTTGCACGGTTGCACACATACTCATGTGCACAGGGTACAGGCCGGGCAGGGCCCAGGCTGTGGCACTTACAGGCTCCTGGCCTCTGGCTGGCGCAGCTGCAGACCCAAGGCCTGGCACCCAGTCCTTCGGCCCATATCTCTCGGGGTCCCTCCATCCTGCTCCCCACCCCCACACTCCTGGGAAATATACCAGGCACACACAAGTTTGTTTCCAAAAATCCAATAATTTATAAAAAGGCCACTTGCATCTGCGTGTTTGGCTCCCAGCCTTCTGGGGCCGCTGCTCCTTCTGCTGAGGGCTGGGACAAGCAGAGGGGGAGCAGTTCAGAGAGACCCCCAACCCCTCAGAAGCAGGGAGATTCAGAAAAGCAGGCTGGAGCCAGCGCCCCTTGCACAGGACCCTATCACTCAGGCCACTGGCTCCTGGCATCCCAACTCCCTAAGGCCACAGCTGAACACATGACCAGTGCGGGAAGTGCTGGTGGGTACCAGGGGCTGAGGACCGACCTCCCCAAAGTGGAACTGGAGATCTGAGGTCAAGGGCCCAGGCTGCCAAGGTCAAGCAGTGTGGCTGAGCCAGGAGGATCAAGGTCATGAGCTTATGCACCAGGCAGCCCTGGCTCACGTGTGCACCCCAGGGAAGGGGAAGGGGCTGGACCCCAATGGCAGTGGGTCATGGCTGAAGACAGAGTCGCTGGAGGAGCAGGTGCTGCTGGTGTCACCGCTGGAGGGGGAGTAGGGTCCGAAGGTCAGGCGGAGGTCCAGGTACTGCAGGGAACAGAGTGGGTGAACCAGGGTCTGCACGCACGGGGCCCGGTGTAGTGGCTGAGCCAGGACCTGCACATATGAGGCCTGGCGGGACGGGTAAACCAGGGTCTGCACCCATGGGACCCAGCAAAGCAGGCTGTGGAGGCAGGGGCCTGCAGGGTCAAGTACCTCTTCTGAGATGGCCAGCAGCACCTTGTCCAGTGCCTCTACCAGTTGCTTGAAGGTGGGTCTCTGGGAAGGGGCTGCGTGCCAGCACTCCCGCATTAGCCCGTACCTTGGGAAGGGCAGCAACAGGCTCAGGTCTGGGCCAAGGAGCAGGAGGGGCCCACGGCTTGGGGAGCTGGGGGGCTGATGAAGGTGACAGGGGCTGGTCTGTGGAAATGCAGGGCAAACTCTCCTCCGGACCCAGGAGGAGGAGGAAGAGAGGGAGGCAGTGTTGCCCTCAGGACCAGCCAAGATTGAATGCTTAGGCCAAGGCTGAGGTCAAAGCAGAAGCTCAGGACCGACTAGGGAGCGGGGAGGATGGGGCCAGCCTCACAGCTCTGGGGGGCAGTGCGGGGGCCGGTCCATCCGATGCCCCTCCCGCAGCAGTGAGAACAGCTCCTCCACGGGGATGCCAGGGTACGGGGAGCCCCCGAGGGTGAAGATCTCCCAGAGCAGGATGCCAAACGACCACCTGGAGGCAGGACGGAGGGTCAGAGCGGCTCAGCCTCTCTGCCCACTCCTGGGCAGAGGGGGCAGGGGTTAGGATACAGGCTGGGGCCACCAAGGGTGGTGGGCAGAAGGGAAGGAGGCAGGTCCCAGGCTCCAGCAGCAGCAGCCCTTGAGGACGGAGTTCCTAGAACCTTGGGCTGCTGAGCTAGTGTTCGGCCCTCTGCATGGACTGGGACAAAGACCCCTTGGCAGGGGCCTGCACGCAAGGGCTATGGGACTTACACATCACTCTGGTGTGTGTACACTCGGTCAAACAAGGCCTCAGGGGCCATCCACTTGACAGGCAGGCGGCCCTGGAGGGAGAGGAAGGGGGTCAGTGGGTACCAGGTACTCCGCTGGGCCCGGCCTGCTGCCCCCGGCCCCTGCCTGCTGCCCTCGGCCCCTGTCTGCTGCCCCCGGCCCCTGGCCCTGGCCTGCTGCCCCCGGCCCCTGCCGCCCTCACAGTGCTGGTTTTCTTGTAGTAGTCAATGTGGTGCACGCCTCGGGCCAGCCCGAAGTCTGCGATCTTCATCACGTTATCCTCAGTCACAAGCACATTACGCGCAGCCAGGTCCCGGTGGATGCACTGCGGGCAAGGCAGGACATGGGACCCGACTCAGGTTTGCTGCGACACGTCAGGAGCCTCGCATGCAGGCTGCTGGGAGGCTGTCAGAGTCAGGGCCAGAAGACCAGGGCTGGACCCCAGGGTGGGAACCCCTAAAGCCTGGGGGGGAACCCCAGGCTTAGGAATGACTGGGCAGGTCCCATTTCACAGATGGGAAGGTTGTGAGCAGGGAAGGAGACCTAAGTTGTGTAGCTTCAGGGCCTGAGTCTTCTCCTGCCCCACGAAGGCGACCAAATGGGGACAGGACGGAAGGCCAGGGCATGCGCCCTGGGGACATCAAGATGGAACGGGGAGGGCAGACGGGGAGAGTGGCGGGGGAGGGTCAGAGCGCAGCCATTGTCTCACCTTCTGGGACTCCAGGTACTGCATGCCACGGGCCACCTGGTAGGCACAGGAGACCAGGGCTGGGAAGGACAGTGGCCCCTCACTGCTCCGCGGCCCTTCAGGGCCAAGGTCAGGACCTGGTGGGCGGCGGGCACGCAGGAACTCTCGCAAGTTTCCCTTGGCGGCGCACTCCACGATCACGTACAGGGGTCCTGGCAGGGGCACGGCGAGGCGGCTGAGGTGCCGCTGGGGGCTCCGCCTGCCACACTGCCCGAGCCCTGAGCCCCTGCCCGGACCCCACCTTCCTGGGTGCAGACACCCAGCAGGTTGATGATGTTTTTGTGCCGGCCGATCAACTTCATCACTTCCATCTCAGACACCAGGTCGGCCAGGTCCTTGTCCGAGGCATTGTCTGCGAGGGGGCAGGGGAGGGAGGAAGGAAGCTGCCGTTCAGCCACGCGGGGTGGTGGGGCAGCTGTGTGGCCTTGACAAAACCTCCTGGGGACCTCAGGGTGGGTCTAGTAGGAGATGGGGCGGGGGTCAGCTTGCCCTCTCCCAGGAAGGAGGCAATGGGATCGAGGGGGCCGACGGGCCAGAGGGCACAGACTGGCACAGGAAGGAAGCTCCGTGGGGAAGGGCTGGCACTGGTCCCTCCGTCAGGGGAGCGTTTCCGGGGGTGGAAGGCAGGCTGGTGCCCCAAAGTGTGTCTGAACTGGGCCTGGTATTCCATCCATGTGGCCCAGGAGTTCTGCCAGCAGGGCTCAGAGAGACAGCGCGTACAGAGGCCTGGACACGGTTGAGGACTGGGGGCAGGGAAGGGGGGCTGGGCCCCGGAGCTGCCCTGTGACCCCGGGGTCAGTGGGAGAGCCGCCCCCACCCGCAGGCACGCTGCTGTCACACGGCCTCTTTCCCAATCCCGGCTTCCCAGAACGCTCCAGGTGGCCCCAGCTGTTTGCAGAGGGGAGAAGCAGACAGGGAGAGTGGGGAGGGGAGTGGCTTGGTGCATTCTTAGTGTGGCCTGGGTGGGGACAGCAGTAAGAGACCCCTGTGGGTAGGTTCCAAGAACTGTACGCCCTGCCTTAGGGCTGGCACTGACTTTAAGCAGAAGGACTGGGTGCAAGAGCCCAACCTGAGGGCCCGGCACCGTGGCCTAGTGGCTAAGGTCCTCGCCTTGAACACGCAGGGATCCTATGTGGGCACCGGTTCTAGTCCGGTTCTAGTCCCGGAGACTCCACTTCCCACCTAGCTCCTGCTTGTGGCCTGGGAAAGTGGTCGAGGACAGCCTAAGACCTTGGGACTCTGCACTTGCGTGGGAGATCTGGAAGAAGTTCCTGGATCGTGGCTTTGGATCAGCATAGCATCGGCCGTTGCGCTCACTTGGGGAGTGAATCATCAGATGGAAGATCTTCCTCTCTGTCTCTCCTCCTCTCTGTATATCTGCCTTTCCAATAAAAATAAATAAATCTTTTTTTAAAAAAAAAACAGCCCAACCTGAGAAGGCCTCGGCGAGATCACGGGGAATGGAGGGTTCAAGGGTGCTAAGGCTGACACAGGTCAAGATGACAGGGAATATGGATCCCAGTCACCCCAAATCCGCACCATCATCCTAGCCCCAGGGTAGGATCTACTGGACTCTGACCATGGGCCAAGTGCTTACCACAAACTGTCAGCCAGGAGGTGGGGTTTCAGTTCTTCACCCCGAAGTTCCATCGGCCCTCAGGCCCCGCCAGCCCCCAGGACTCTCCGCTCACACACACACACTCACCCTTGAGCATCTTGACGGCCACTGTGCTGGCTTGGTCAGGGCGGGCGGGGTCCATGCCGAGGGCTTCTGCACACACCACCTGCCCGAAGCAGCCCTCGCCCAGGGGCTTCCCAAGCACCAACCTGGGCACAGGGAGAGGCTGGCCTTCAGACCCTGGCTGCTGCCTGCGCAGAGCCGCGTGCCCCTTGCCCTCTCTGCTCCGTGTACCTGTCCCGGGGAAACTCCCACAGAGGGTCGAGAGGCAGGTCGAGATTAACGAGGCCGGCGAGCAGGGGCGGGCCGCTGGAGGACAGCCGGACGCCCCGCACCAGGGAGGAACTTGACTTGCCCGAAGAGCCCGATTCCAGGGAGAACTGCAAAGCAGGAGGCTGGGCTGGGGGAGCCGACTCTGGGAGGAGTAATGGTGGTGGCACGGGGCTGGGGACTGGGCATGGTACCTGACGAGCCAAAGGGAAGCGGGACAGCTTCTGCACCGTGGCGGGCTGCCGAGCGTGCCGGCCGTGGAGCACCTGCCTACGGTACAGCCCGGCCAGCAGCAGGAGCAAGGCCATGGCCAGGGAGCCCGAGGCGTAGAGGATGATGTCCGTGTACCTGGCCTCGGGCGATGCTGCCGTCCACGTGAGGTCCTCCTCTGCTCCCCACAGACAGACAGGCAGAGAGAGACAAGCTGGCCTCCGCAGGGTCTGGCTGACGGCCAGCCCCATCCCTTCTCTCAGGCTTCACAGCCCTCACCCCATCCCAATACACACACCGAGAAAGCTGCAGTCAGACCCATCTCAAACACCTGTATCCCAGAGGGTGGCATGGACAGCCATGTGCAGGATGAGCTGCACAAAGCCACGTGCTGTACCCCAAGCTTACACCCCCACGACACACAGCGGGCATGAGCTGGGTCTCTCCCTGGGCTCCCTCGGGCACTCACCTGGCAGTACCGTGAGCCAGGCCGACTGGTAGGAGAGGCCGATGGAGTTGCCAGCCAGGCAGGTGTACTCGCCCGCATCCTCGGCCGACACATTCCGTAGGTACAACACCTCCACCTCGGAGCTGTTGATGTCTGCAGTCTGCATTTGAGGGACACATTCGAGGGTCTGGGACGCAGGCAGCCGGGGTCCCCCCTTACATCACAGGCTGGCAGGCAGGGGGGTGGCGGGGTGAGGCTGGAACCCCATAGGGCCCATACCTTCAGGACTTGCACGTAGGGGAAGCCGTCAGCGCCGAGGCTGCTGCCATTGATGACGATGTGCTTCAACCACTGGATGTGGGGCTGGGCGTCGCTGTACACCTTGCACAGCAGCTCGACGTCACTGCCCGCCACAGCAGTGGTGTTGGCCGGCAGTCCCGCCTGCAGGATTGGCCGGTGTGGGGACCGCTCTGTGGGGGAGGGGGCCAGGTGGAACCACCAACTCTGAGCCGGAGTTCACCCAGCTTTCCCATGTCCGGCTCTGCACCTGCCCATTGCAGGAGGGACCGTTCCGAGCAGCAGCAAAAACCATGACCAGCACCTACTTACCCTGCTTGAGCGCGGCGCCCCAGTGTCTTCTGGTATAGGTCAAACCCTTAGCCTGGCATTCAAACCCCTCCCAAACTGGGTTCCCCATAAAACATCACAACCCAGGCATACAACTCCCCACACTTGGGGCCTCAGCTGTACCAGAGCCTTCTGCCTCTCCCGGCCCATCTGACTGCTGTGCCACTGCCCCCTGATCCACCCGGTCACTTTATCCAAGACCAAGTCTATCTTTTTCTGAGTCTGACCTACGAGGGTGTGGCCCCGGGCCCGGCCCTGCTTCCTCTATGCTCACCCAGCACGTCCAGCAGGTAGCTGTAGCGGATGCTGCCCAAAGGATTCTCCACGAGGCAGGTGTAGGTGCCGCGGTCCGAGGGCACCACGCTCTCCATCACCAGGCTCCAGTGCTGGTGGCGCAGCTGGGGGCAGAGGAAGGCAGTGATCCTGAGACCACACCTCCCAGAGTGGACAGGGCCTGAGGAGGCTGGGACCTTCCTGCCCACAGGCCTTTCTCCAGCTCTCCAGCCCCTGGGGTCAGGCCAAGGCCTTGGGCCTAGGGACAGTTATGGAGCAGATAGTCTGGACCTCTGCTTACTCACTCGAATCCCGCCTATACGGTTCTCCCCATGGAAGGCCTGTCCATCCTTGAGCCAGCGGATGCTGGGCATGGGATCACCGGCGGCTGGACAACGGAACTTGACCGTGTTCCCAGCAGGCACCGCGTGTAGCTTCTTCTCCATGCGCTGGGGGTGCGTCCAGTATGGCGCTGGAGGGAAGGAGGTAGGCAGACTAAGTGCTCCCCTCTCTCAACCCACAGGTCTCCTCTTCCCAGGGGCCAAGTGGGCGATGGGGCCAGGTGGCCCAATACTGACCTTGCTGAGGGTAAGCGTGCCCGTTCGAGGAGCCACTGTGGGCCTTGGGGTCCTCAGCAAAGTTACTGGAGGTGGAGGAGTCTGCACCAAGGACAGAGGCATTGGAGGCCCAGAAGGGGGAGCCTCTTCCCTGGGGGTCCCAGATCCCCCCACTGGGCCCTCTTACCATCCACAGCCAAGGTGAGGTTGTGCAGGACGGCTAGGGAGCCCCGGGCCAGGCAGAGGTAGCGGCCGGCATCCTCAGGGCGGAAGGCGGCAATTTCCAGGCGGCCCCTCCAGGCCCGCACGCGGCCGGCAGGTGCCAGGCGACTGCCCTCCTTGTACCAGTGGCCGCCCCGCTCAGCCCGCCCACAGCACAGGCGTACAGGCTGCCCCAGGGCCACGCTCAGCTCCTGCTCATGCTGTTCCAGGCTCGGGGCCGGGCAGGGTTCTGTGGGTGGAGCGCAGAAGGCAATGAACCCCACCGTCCCAGGCCAGGCAGCCCCCTATTTATGGATAACAACATGCTGTACACACAGGGCCTCGGGGAACCTGGGGCGCATGCTGGACACACAGCCACACTGCTGATGCCACACTGTGGGCGGGAGGGGCTCATCATTGTCTGAACCATATGTGTTGCCTGGGTCCCCCAAGCCACACACACACACACACACACACACACACACACACACACACACAACCAGGCCTCTCACCACCAGCTCTGCAGCCCAGCTCAGGGCCCAGCGCCCTGCAAGGCCCATCCTCTCAGCCAGGCGCAGACCACGGGATGCTCACTGGGAGCCAGACACAGGGTCTCAGCGGCCCAGCCCTCTCCCCAGGGCCTGGCAAGGAGCCTCCAGCCCTGCTCAGCGGATGGCCCCATCCCCCTGGGGTACACCTGCCCCACGCCCCTGCCACTGCCACCCTCTCCCAGCCACAGGGTCATACCCAGCTCCATCTCCTCGGAAGCCTCCAGGGCCAGGGCTGGAGCCCCAGGGGTGCTCAGCAGGACCCCCACAAGCACCAGCAGCAGCCACCGCATCGCCTCCCCTCCCTGAAGTGCTGGGGCCTCAGGCTGGACGACCTGCAACAGGAAGCAGAAAGACCACCTGCCACAGATGTACCTGGGCTGCCACAGCGCTCAGGTGAGGAAGCAGGCTGCTGGTGACAAGCCCCTGGCCTGCTGCGACGGGGAAGAAAGCGGAGCAAGCCCCGCTGTGGGGGGTCACTGGCGCAAGGGGCTGCGGCCTCCTCTTGGCTGCCTGCTCTGCCTGGGTCCCCGCTGAGACCCTGGCCCAAGTTCACAGACAGCGGCTGGACTCTTCCTGGAGGCAGACAGAAGACAGAGAAGTATCTTCCGCCTACTCTCTCGGCACACATAATTTATGATGATGATGATTATTTTTTTTTTTGCTGAATAAATTTATTGCTGAAGAGCCAAAAAGAAAAAAAAATGTGAAATATAATAACAGACCAAATGCCAGCAGCTGGATGTCGTCTGACCTGACCCTGCTCCCGCTCACATTTCCATGCCCAGCGGGGGGTGTATCCTGTAGCTGGGTGCCAGTGGCCCTGGCGGGGGGAGGGTGCAGCCTGCACCAACCAGGTTGCACCCCCCACAGCTGGCTGCTTTTGGAAACTCCATGCAGGGTTTTTTGTAGCCTTTAAGAGGCAGGCGGCCCCAAGTTCAAGTTCAGCCTCTGACTAGCCTGCAAGTGCCCCATGTGTGGGGACTGGGAATACAGAATACTGAGTGGTCCTCCCCAAACTCCTTCCACGACCTGTCACTCTACTCTGCCCACAGCCGGTTCTACCTGGTCCTGTCAGGTTCAAGGTGCACGGCCATCTCACCTGGCCACCTTCTTCCAATTGCCAACCCTACCCCCACAAAGGAATGCTCAGACCAGAGCAGGGGTGGGGGTACCTAGGGTGTGCTCCCAGGAACCGACCTGCTATTCCCCGGGGCAGATGCCCGGCAGATGTCGCTCACTGGCCCGGTCCTCAGCCCCTCCTGCCCCACAAGCAGGGCTTTGGAAAAACACACTGGCCCTCGCACCTTTAACCATCCCGCCCTGCTGTTCAAGGCCACTCCTGCGGGGTCCCAGCCCCTGCCCTTTTCCCCCATCTCTTTGGTACCACCGCCCACGCCTGCAGGAGCACCCAAGACACTGTTTCGGGTTCACACAGCCCTGGGGCTGAGCCCTGTCCACCTCCCAGCTCCGCCGTCTATCCCTCCGCCCCTGTCCCCTTGCTCTGCAAAGCAACCCCATGCCTACAGGCCGGGAGGGAACTTCTGGAACTCCAGGCTGCCGTGACCTCATAACCTCAGTCCCTGATCGGGGGCCACCCAGGCGCGTGGGTCCGGAGCTTGCGACTGTGGCGGCATCGGACGGTCCCGCTGCAGCCTCGGCTATCCCGCGCAGGAGAGGCCCTAAGCCAGGACTGCACCTCCGGAGCTGGTGGTAGTGAGTGGGGGGCGTCGGGCGCCCCGAGGCCGCCCCAGGGCAGAAGCGCTCTCCCCAGCGGCCCGGCCACCTCTGGGTGGGGTGCAGGGGAGGTGCAAGGCGGAGGGTCCACCTCCCCCGAGGGCAGCTCTGTCGCTGGCCCGCCCCCGCGCCCGCCCAGGGTGGGCAATGAGTAACCAGCTCGGCGGCCCCGGTGCTCTTTGGACGGAGCGGGACAAAAGGCCCTGTGTGCGCGGCGGGTTACTGATTTACCGCCTCGCCACCCCCAGCTCCCACATCCCCGCTGCGCGGATGCCCAGGTCCCTGCGCCGGGACGGGGCAACCCCGGCCCTCGTCGCGCTCGCCCCCTGGCGGCGGGGGCGCAGTCCCGGCGCGCACGGGTGCTGGCTCACCTCGAACCTGCGTGGCTGCGCTGCCTTTGCTAGCTCCTCCGCGCCCCGCTCCCAGCTCCCTGCCAGCCACGACCGGGGTCCGCACGCAGCCGGGGCGCCGCTCCGCCCGCGGCGGGAGAGCCTGGAATAAGCTGGCGACAGCAGCGTGGCCGCGGGCGGCTGCCCGCTCCGCCCAGGCCCGCCCCCAAGGCAGGACGCTGGCCCCAGGGGTGTGGCCCGGGCTCGGGGTGCCACCCACCTCGGCCCCCGCGCCGGGACCCGGCATCGCGCACCTCGCGCGGTCAGCCTGGACCTTAACCTGCCACACGCGCCCTCGCTCTCCTCCTCCTTCCCACCCATGCCTCTGGCTGGCCTTCCAAGTTCTAGTGCACTGACCGGCTGTGTCCCCTGCGCTTCATCTTCAGGGAAGGAGCCCGGTGCCTGTCTTCCGTACCCCCTTCCACATGGGCTCCTTGCACGGAAGCCGTCAGGGCTGCTCATGTGACTGATGCGGGTGGCAGAGGCCCATGCTGTTTGGCCACCATCACATGGCCTTTGCAGGCACGCTGGCAGAGGGCTGCATTGGAGCAGGTAGAGCTGCTGGAACTGGAACCCGTGCTCTGATTTGGGATCCAGTAACGCAGGCAGTGGCTTAACCCACGGAACCATAACCCCAAGCTCCAGAGTGATTTTTCTTTTTTAAGACTTATTATTTGAAAGGCAGAGTTACAGAGAGAGAGCACGCGTGAGCTTCCATCCCCTGGTTCACTTCCAGATGGCCAATAATGGTCAAGGTCAAGCCAGGCTGTAAGTCAACAGCCCAAGAGCTTCACTGGGGTCTCCCACATGGGTGCAGGAACCCAGGCACTTTGGCCACATTGTGCTGCTTTTCCAGGCTGGCAGCAGGGAGTTGGATGGGAAGTGGAGCAGCCGGGCCTGGAACTGGTGTCCCTATGGGATGCTGCTGCACACAGTAGCTTTGCGTGCTTCACCACACCACAGTGCCAGCCCCACCACAGTGATTTTTTTTTTTTTTTTAAAAAAGCTTGATTAATTTTGGGGGAAACGTAGATTTTACAGAGCAAAGGAGAGAGAGAGAGAGAGAGAGAGAGAGAGAAATCTTCCATTTGCTGGTTCTCACTCAAATGATTCTGAGAGCCCAGAGTGCTATTTTAAATACAGATCTGTTTCCGCCACCGCCTTGAACTTTCAAGGAGCTTCTCATATGGACGCTTTGGTGCCTGCCTATGTGTCCAGATTCAGCCTCATTTTATCTTGCTCCTGCCCTGGCCCTGGGCCTCTGCGTGCTGTTCCGTCTTCCCAGGGAACATCCCTTCCCATCTCAGGCTTCGGTCTCAGTGAAGGGCAGTGCTGGGGGGCTGTGGGCACAGAGCGGCTGCACCTTATTCCAGCTCCCATCTGCGCTTCCTCTGCGGGAGTGTGGGAAAAGGAGAGCAGCAGACCCCAGGGTGGCGGGAAGCAGGGTGCAGAGCTGGCAGGCTGCATCTGCTTTGTCACCCTGGTGGTTCCGGTGAGGATGTCTTCAGGGCGCTTGCCAGGCCTAGCAACCGAACCACGAGTTGTGCCAGTGGCTATGGAGTGTCCAGCAAGGCGGGAAGCTGCGCCCGCCCGCACGGAGCTTGCTACTGTCTATCAAGTGCCCAGTGTCTGACAGCTGATCCTAGAGTGCTCGGGCTTGTCTCACCTGCTGGGACCCATGGGGAGGCTAACCTAGAAGTCTGGCCAGTCTCCCTGGACCACACCCTCTCCAACTACCCTCTTACCCCCAAGGGCTAGGCTGGGGTGAAGCCACTTCCGTTATCTGCATTGAGCTATCAGACCCAGCAGGGGAGGGATGGGGCGTTCCTTTGCATAACTAAAAGGCCCATTATTAGTTTTTCTTTTCTTTCCCTTGCATACAAAGGAAAGGCCCCCTCTCTAAGATAAACCGGAAAAGACATTTACCATTTAAAAATAGCTCTTGCAGGAGCGCCCAGGAAGGACAAGACACCGGCCCCAGTCTGGCTACCCGAACCCACCAGGGTCCCGACCCAAGGCCCAGGAGCCCTTGGGCTGCCCCCTCACCGCACAGCCTCCCACAGCCCCTCTGTTGAGCCTTGCACGTTCCCCCACCACGCCTTCGCTCACTCGGGTGTTGGATGAGTATCAGCTGGAGAAGGCCCCAAACCGCGGGAAGGGCCCGATCATTGCCACCCTGCGAGGGGCTGCTACCCGCAGAGAGGGGCAAGCTGGAGTAGACCACTACAGTCTGGCCCAACCTACTCTCTCTTACAGCCTCACTGGCGTTTGCAGTCTCCCAAATGTGCCAACACACAGTGTTGCATGGCAAAGATTAGCACCTACCATCCTAACACCCTTCCTTTACCCTGCCTCTGCCTCAGTTTCTCTGTCTGGGAAATGGGTGCACTCCTTCTGCTTCCCAGGGATTTTGGGGACAATGGGTTTCACCAGAACAGAAGGTCGGGAAGCAGTCCTGTTTTGGCTGGACACTCACCGTGCACCAGGTCCTGTGCCCAGTGTGATCCGTCTTTTGACCTCTTCACCCAGTCAAATGGTGTGAGAGAGCCTAGCCTGGTCTCGTGCAGCTGGGATGATTGCTCTGGGATCCCCTAGTGAGGGTGTGGCAAGCTCAGGATGACACACCGCGGCTAAGTCAGCAGGCATTTGTGCAGCAGGGGCGGTGGGGAAGCCAGCGGATTCATAGTGTGAGCGGGACAGTTCTGAGCTCCCTGCCCCTTCAGGCCCAGGGAAGTGTTTGCAAACCCTGTGTGCCAAGTTCCGGGAGGGTCTCCAGAGGCCAGGCCCCACACCCCCACCTGCCCTGGAGCAGAGTTTGAGGGAGGAAGGCAGACATCGCCTGGTGCCAGCGATGTTGCTTTTGGATGCCAGCCGGGTGCCGGAACACTGCGGCTGTTGTGTGGAAGGCTTGCTGCCGAGCCAGCTCAGCCCCTGCCTAAGCCCCCACTCCAGCCCCGCTCTGGCCGTATCCTCTGGCCCAGCCCTGTGCCTTTCCAAACTTTTCTCATTTCGTGCTTGCAAATCAGTTCTTAGTTGGGGGAAGTTTAAAATACACTGTGCGCTGCCTGTGGACATCCAGGTCAGCACGGACGACGTAGGTAGGTGGCTATGCACCACGCCCCTGCCCCCCAGGATCCCGGTGGGGCCGAGACAGTCCCGTCACCTCTGGGGGTC